CTGCTGGCCAGACCTGTTTCTTTCCACGCACAGAGCCTCCTTTCCCTGCCTTGTATCTGTCCTCTTTCCTGTAATGAAGTCCAATTCTTCATTATTTTCTACACATTCTTCTAATCGTTCCATCCAGCCTCTTATTTTCATAGCTCTGCCACCAATCCTTCTCTCTCATCCCCTTCCACTTTTCTGATCACTCTGAATGCATCTGTTCTACAAATGCTGCCATAATCACACTTTGAAGACTAGCAACACAACTTTTCTACCAAGTCTCTTCCTCCTGCCATTAGCCTACATGTCATTCCTCTTAGCTACTCATTCTGCTCCTCCCAACTATTTCAGGGATAACAAATATCACAGTACAGGGAGAGAGGAGATGCACGACTCTTACCTTAAAAAAGGCCTTTACTCTTCATTCCTACCAAGCTATGAGATACACTACCTCATTTAAGGGGATGTTTCCTTATTTCAGATGAGCAAAATGCACAGTATAATTCTTTCTAAAAGTGATGGCCAGTTTAGTGACGGCCAGGATTTTGGTGTGGAGAGGTGGGAAGACAGTAATACTTGGCACGAGGTGTGTTCCCCATGTGGTCTTTTTGTTCTTGTTATAAAAAAGGCTACTAGAAAGTTGTTGGCTGCCTTAGTTTCTTACTCATCTAACAGTGTGCATCTAGTTTATTTCTTAAGAAATCAATCAACCTATCCTTTGTCCATGTTTAGTATGCCAAGAGTTATCAGCAATACTCCCTTACAAACCAAAAAAAAAAAAGGCTATTTAGAAAGAGAATTACTTTTATTTGGACAAACCATCTCACATCCTTGAAGTAGGTAACTGGCAATTCTCTCTGAGGAGGAAACCTGGTATTTAAATTCAGTGGGTTCTTCTGAAAATCTGCATTATCATTCTTCCTCCCCACATCATACTCTCTCTCAAAGCGTATCTAATCTTAACTTTTAACTTCTGTATACTCTTGCTGTAAATCATACCCTCTCTTCCCCCAACACACACCTTCATTTTCTATACTATTCGGGACAATGCTTTTCATCCTCCCTGCACTCAATTGCTAAAGTGTAAAATTATTATCGTTCTTTATAGCTTGCCTTAGTCTTTAGGATACGCTGTTTCAAATTCAATGCTGAAGAACTGATCAATTAAACTCTTCTTTTTAGAAGTTGCTGCTGTAGCTCCAGAGTCTGTCTGTAAAACAAATTATCTTATGTTGTAACTTTAAATAGCATGTAAGGACAGTCTTCTTTACAGACAAAATAACTCCATTTCTTTAAAGTCTTTGAAGCCTATTCCTTCACTTTTCTATAGGTCCATTTTCTCATAGTCAGTCAATCTCCTTACACCTCATAAAAGTTTTAAAACAAAAGCATTTATAGCATACTGTTAAAGCCACCTCAAAGCACATCAGCAAGCAAGACCTCAATCAAAAAGTTCCACCTCCCTGCCCCCCAACTTAAATTTTAGAGTAGTCTATCAGATTTTTGCCACTGCCAAGACTCTCCAGAAAACAGTTTACAGAGAAAGAGGAGAGTCCGTTGGTAAAGTCTTGGGGAAAATTTTAAGTAATTTCTTATCAGGTTGATTAAGCTAGTTGTCTCTCTGAAGTACCATTCTTGTAGCCAAGAATGCTGTAGCACACTTTTTTCAGAAAAAAAAAGTTCATATGTGCTAAATTCACAGGTTATCAGGGCTAGCTGCTGCATACCCACAGTCACCACCACCCTGGTCCAACCCACACCTTACAAAGCCCAAAGGGAAAGTATTCCTATAGTACACTCCATAGCATAGCTGACATGACACAGGTAGATTATGCTGATCAGACAAATCAGAAAGCTATTTCACTTACTGGGCTACAGACGCATGTTGAAGAACTCACAGAACAGATAATCCTTAGCAAAAAAATATGTGGATCACAAGTACAGTACTATAAAACCTAACTCGGGTTAGAGTAAGACTACAATTACCTCCATAACTGTATCACCTTCTATGCCTTCCAGCTTCTGCTGTAGTACCCTCATCATCTGCACCCAGCACTCATTGGCATCCTAGGAAGGGGATGGAACATTAAATCCGACTATTAGCGTTATGATTCAGTAATATTAAACCCATCAATCTTTACACTATAAAACCAAGTGTAAGGATTCCTTAAATATTAATTTCTCCCTATTTCACCATACATTTTCAGAGCTAGCACCTGATATTATATTCAACTTTTCTACATGATACAAAAGCAACCACTTTACCGCAATAAATTGTTTTCACAGGAGAAGGGAAGTCTTAAAATATTCTTGTTCTCAACTTCCAACATACTACAGTTTTCAAACAATAAGCTAATAATCCGTCTTTACCTGTTGAAGGTACTGGCCTTGATCGCCTTTCTCTGCAAACTGTGGGAAGGCCATGTGTAAGAACTGCAGGAGAATGATAGGTGGGATACTGGAGGAAGTTTTATCCATGGAATCAAACAAGTCTCTAAGAGCTTGAAGAAAAAGTAAGTCAATGCTTTGAGAAGTGGAAAAACAATTCAAACGTTGCAGGAAGTTTAAAAAGAATAGTAAAACAGCAGCAACATTTAAAAACTGATCATTTAACAGCGTCCGATTTGATCTTCCCAAAGCAGGACCAAATCTTCCAGGCAGCATAATAGGTGCACCTAAGATCTCATTTGTGAACGTGACTTTACAAGCGTAAAGATGACAATTCTGAGAGTTTGGCACATAGTGCCTTGTCTTTCCTGGCTGCTAACAGAAAAAAAAAAAATCTGAGCAGTTAAGATTTCATTTGAAACACATCTGAGGAACAATGTTTTCACAAGAGGACTACACCTAGAGAAACCGGAAGGCATTCACAATCTATCCTGTAGAGCTGCTTAAATTCACCAACTACTGGGGAAAAAAAAGCTTTCATTTTTCCCAACTAAAATATCTAGAAAATACTCATGCTTAACTTAAGACCCAGGAAAACAAGTATGTGTATGCATACGTGCAGATGGTTCATAACTGTGCAATTCAATGAATGCTGCTGACTGCATGACAATACACATGGCTTTCTTTTTTGCTCCAGACACACTACTATATGTCTTATCTACCCAGGTTACAGCATCTAAAATCCACAAATTACTTCAGAGACACCGGTCAATCCTCACAACCACCCTGTGAGGTAGGCAACAGTCTGCATGGTCACTAATTTACAAGTGGAGAGACTAATGAATCAGTGAATATAGGCAAGATCACAAGGAACCAAGGTCAGTTGCTTCCTCTCTTTAGAAACAGCTTCACTGACCTTGATAAGAGGGACAACCGATATGACACAGCAATTAAAAAAAATGCCATTAAGTGTCATGCAGGAGTTCTTGACCAGCTCAGCACCAAAGAATTAACTACTTAAACTATTAAGACCTAAAAAGCAGAGCTGTCACCTTAAAAAGAAAACAAGGGACACGAAGTAAAGGCAGTGAAAAGGGGAGGGGCAGGCATGGCTGTATAGAGTAACCATTGAACTTACCACCCCAAAATTCGATCAGCAGGCATACCCACAAACTGGACCTTTCCTTCCTTATATTGTTTTGTTTTTCCTTAAATGGACTGGTAGAAATCCCAGTGTCCTGGCCCAGCATCTTAGTGGGGCAATGAAATAGAGTAAAAAAAGAAAAAGTGGACAAGTAGTACCCTTATTCAAGTGTAAGGGGTCTAACTAGAATTCTAGTTAGAACTTGGGAGATATGAGGCCATCGTGAGCTCCCACATTGTGAGCACCCAGATCACCACAACAAAGAGTAACTTTCCTATTGAGGACACTACTTTCTATTTCAGTTATGAAATCTGGGTCTTTAGGGTAAAGGCTAAGACCACTGATAAAGCACCAGCTACCACCTTAGCAATAATGCTCAGCCAATAAGACATGAAATACATATTCTAGGAGTATGGCATTAGCCTACCGTTATGTGAAACAGAGAACTGTACATTAAAATATTTCTACGCAAAATGATCAAATCAACAGATGGATGGATTCTGCTTTAGGAAGTTCCAATTACTTTATGCCTACATGCAAAACAGTTAAGAGATACAAATGATTTCTATCTAAGCCTAGATCACACTTGAATATATTTTTCCTAGTCTGCAGCTATATCCCTAATAAGCAAGGGATGTATGCTTTGTGGCCACGGTCAGATATTAATGACAGAGCAAAATGAATCCTCCAGTGCTAGCAGATCTGAAACTCCTAAGGCATATGGGCTAAAGAAAAATACACAGAGCTCTAACTGCCATTTTCATCTGCAGTTAGCAGGAAATCACACGCTAGCCTAAACCCCTGTGTTCTACTCTGAACACCAACCTGCAGTAATGTATTGAGCAGAGGCCATTTCTCCAGAAGCTCTTAAGGCACCACCATACCTAAAAGAGGAGAAAAATAATTTGTATGCAGTCAAACACAACCAAGAGGAACAGTCAGGTTTTTAAACCACAAAGCAGGCAGCAGCTAGATTTATTTAAATGTATCAAAAGAAATCAATCACCAAACCAGAAATAACTGAAGATAAGATTTACTCACACTCACCTCAAAGTCTCAGTTATTCTGCATAAAAGCAAAGGAACACTGGCATCCTTGACACAATAAATAAATGCAGACTGGGAAGCCTGGATACGTCACTGCTGCTTCCCTAATCCATTTGCCCCAAAGACTCAATCTATTTTTGAAGAAACTGAGAAAAAGTCGGAATAGAAGCCACTCCATTTCTGAAACATTTGCCATGGCTTCTTCAGATACATGGGGAAAAAAAAAAATAAACACCTTCAAGTACAGATGGCAGATAAAATGCACAGAGATGGAGGGCAGGCTTGCTTCCTCCCTCCACAGCAGAAGCAAGACAGTGAGAGGCGAGACATTTTTCTTGGGGAGGTATTTCCTACACTGAAGAAGGCTGGGAGTCCACCCATATTACTAGAACTTACCACTCCTCTTGGAATGATTTCTTAATTTACCAGCTGCATGAGGAACAGACGGCCTCCTCAAAGCGTGTAAGCCTTCAAGCAAAAGGAGCGTCTCATGCACTCTTTAATCTCAGACTGAACTTTAAAAGTTCTGTCCATTGCTAGATGATGAGCAGGAAACTTTCCCCCTGACATGCTACGGAACAGTAAGTACCCTTGCAGGGATCAAGGGAGCAGCTGGTGAGAAACAAAGCTGTAATAAGTAAGCTTTCCCATGTGAATCCTTTCACCTCTCTCCCACTGCCACATACCCTTCCATGCTGCCGTCAAGCAGGGAAGGCCAAATAAAGGCTGCCTGTGAATGTGACTTCCCACAGACAATAAGACCACATCTTGTATTACAGTCTGCCAATTTTATAGGGTACATTTTGACATTTAGTACATTAAATTTGTCAAATACTCTGATTCAGTGCAGTAACTCAGAGTCCTTTACATGGAAATAAACAGACTTTCCTAAAATGACAACACTGAAATACAAGAAAAAGCTTTGAAACACAGTTTCTGTACTTCATAAATAGTTCTCAGTGCTAAATAATTAAGGTTCACCTGCTAACAGAATGAAGAAGAAATTATAAGTACTTAAATAACTAGTGTTTAAGGTAATCTAGACTATCCGTTTGGGTATCAAAGTATCATGAAAGTGTATATTAAAGGAATTAACCCTAAGATGACAATGCTCTGCCTAATCCTCACATTTTTTAAATACTGATGGTTTTCTCATTATAATTCATCCGGAGGACAAATTCAGGCTCACATTGCTATGTATTCTTTTTTCTTCCCGTCTTCATCATTCTCAAGTTTCTCGTATATTCCTCACAAGAAAAAAAATGGGCCATTTTCACATTTCAGTCCAGAATAACAAAAAAAAAAAAAAAAAAAAAAAAAAAAAAAAAAATCAGAAAAGCTATTCTACAATCAGAATGAATGAAACATTCCATAAGGAATGTTCCCTGCACATCCACATGACAGTAATGCCAGGTTATTCCAGTTTCCCACCACAGTAACACCCATGGTCCTATCTCAGAGCTTCCTGCTGTACCTCCAAGTACCGTATGTCAGTAATGTCAGAATTCGGTAGCTGAAAACACATTGCGCAATAAAGCCAGTAAAAAAAAAAAACCAAACCCCAACATTCCTCAAAGGAACAGAACTCCTGTACGATTCTTCTATACAGAACAAACCCATACAAACTAACGCCAGAAAACAGGGTTAGGAGTTCAGTCGCTTATTTAAGCATTTTAAACAACTCTTGATAGGAACTATTTTTTAGCTAGGCAAGATGCATTCTCTCCACTAAAAGCCAGTTCCAACAAATACATAGCCTTAAGGCCTTTAAAAAGTACAGACTAACACAGCCATAGGATAAACTTTAATCGATCATTATGTTAATCTTGCACAGATTTAAAGAATAACAATTGTTAAGATAACCCATACCAGTATTAAGATGACCATTCCACAAAATATCTATTTCACAAGTTAAAGAAAACATTTTAGTCGTGGTATTTTTGTACTGAATCCTACCTTTTAAGGGCCTCTTTCACTTCTGGCACTGAGCGGATACACTGAACCGTAGCATTCATGTAGCAAGTGTTGCCAAGGTTTGTCAATCCACACGGTAATTCCATCTACCAAAAAATTTACAAGGGTACTTGAAGGTCTGAGAGAGATGTGCAACCATTTTTGTATAAATGTTATAATTTAACATCAATTTCTAAGAAAAGGAATGACCAGAGATGTGTAAAGCCTAGAATATTCCATCAAACTTCATGAAGTTTTCCAGATCCATTTTCTGATTATATTATTTCACCATTTGGTGCTTTTAGAGGACATTCAGGAATGCTTTGGGTTTTTTTCTGTGCATGTTTAGTTTAATGAACATATTCTTCAAGCAGGCAGTCATTCAGAAAGTCCAATCATAATCTCACTGAAGTTTTGACCTTAAAACTCCATTTCTGTGACATTTCCACATGAATACATTTGTACAAAACATTGATGTTTTAATTAAAATCAGTTTTCAGTAAAACTCTTGAATGTGAAGTTCATCGTTAGAAACAAAAGCACTATTTAAACTCCTCTCCAGAAGTCTGCAACAGATCATTAATTTGATCCTTTCAGACAACTTGTGAACTTCTAAAGTTTTGACAAATGTGAAGGCCAACCAATAATTAAACTAACCACTTTCAGAAACAACTATAAATCACAATATAATAGCTTTTTTTTTTTTAATCCTGCATATTTGAGCAGTTGTCAGGGAAAAGCACAGTTTAATGAAACTGAAGTAGTACTGCATACCAATACCACTTAATTATTTTAGGAAGAGATAATTCTTTTAGCTATGTATTCCATTTTTAATGAATACATGCAGTACAGACAATTGAATTTTCATGTATAACAGAATTTGAATCAGAGAAATGCAACATGACCAACTTTTTCAAAATGTTATTGACACTGAATCATCTCCTTGTTTGCTCAGTTATCTCGAAGTCTGTGTATAGGGTAGTCTCAAAAAATACATAAGTATCCTTCACCTGCTGGTGCCATGGAAAGCATTAAATATTGAAGCACAAAACCAGTCCTAAATACAGATCCGTTTTCATATGGACATGCATAAAAGTCTTCCCGTTCTGCATGCACAGTTGACAAGTGTCATGCAACTGTTTTAAGTATGACAAAGAGCTCTTAGTTCAAATGACTGATGAGAAAATTAAACCTTTCAAATTGTAAAAAAGAAGACAACTCAAACAGAAGTTAACTTCATTAAAAAAAATAATTAGTTATGCTCTTCCAGACTTCACACCCATAAAAGAAAACATATAAGCTATTCCACTAATGTCAAACTTATCTTTATTTTTCAGAAAGAGAAGTTTACCTAATACTACTAACAAGGACAAAGAAACCCCCAAACACACTGTACCTCAAACAAACCCTAGTTTCCCTCACAAATACGAAGGAGGCAGGAAATAATTTTGCACATCTAAGAGCCCTTATTCAGTCAAAGTTCAGGACACTAGTATGGCAAGGGCAATACAACTTTGTCTTTAAAAACATCAGCAATGCTGTTCTTAGAAAATTTACTAAACTGCCTGCTTAAAGAAAAAACAGCACTAGTTGTATGACTCTCAAATTAAATTCCAGACTTCTCATGCTAACAGTGGGTCGTCAATGTAAACTGGCATTTCTTTGAGAAGCTATAAATGCTGAACAGACATTACAGTTTCAAAATCCACTTTTAAGCAACTGCGAGTATTTAAAAACTTGCCATCATTCAAAGGTTTACAAGAAGCCAGTCTGAAATATGCTTACAGCTGAAGCCAACTGCTCCTCTGTCATGTCTTCTACAAAGACGGGTCGAGCAATTGGCTCCTCTGGAAGTGCATCTGCAGAGCCCATCATTAATAAGGTCATCCCCTTGAAACACAGTAAAAAAAGTAATAAATATTACAGGGCAGTTATTTCTGGTTAATAAGAAAAAATCATTAAGCTCTTGACATATTTCAGCTATTTCCCTAAAAATAAACACAATCTTTCTCTTAGTTTACAGAGCTGATACTGCTCTGTTCTTTAAGGGCAGTACCTTAACTTTCTCATTATCTAGAAAGTACTTACTGAGAACAATTTCACAGCATTATCCATGCTAGACATTTCCACTGAGCCTGGTGAGTCTGCCAGCTGACAACGCAAGATTCCAATCAGGACTAAATTTAACGTTCATGGAATACCCCAATGTGAAGTGTGCAGAAAAGCTCCCTTCCTGATGGACCACTAGTGATCAAGCATCTTCAACACTTCAGCGCTAATATTCCTCTTCCCCTTAAGTCTTAGAAAATACCTTGGAACCAAGGATAAGTGAGCAGCTAAATTCCAATTTGAAAGAAGCCACAACATTTGAGTTTCTCAACCGAGAGTCTCAAGTTCCTAGATTCAGAATTCTGTAAACAACAAAAACATCTCATCTTTAGCCTAGAATCTGGGGAAACACTTCAGATAGACGTGGGTAATAATGAGGACCACAGCTCTGAGTTCAGAGTCAGTTTTTTCACCTGAAAAGCAAGCAGGAAAGGGAAATGCCATCCTTTGGTCTGGGAAGTTCTGAGGACGTTAAACTAATTGAAAAGTGAAAAACAACCAAAATGACCCCATTTAGTTTAGGCATGAGGACTAATATTCAAAGGAGGGGTAAAAAAAAGAAGCAATCCAGTTATCACGCTTGCTGGACTAGCATAAGGAAAAGGAGTTTTTCAGCATTCTACAGTACTATTTTCTACACAATAAGATCTACCAAAGGGGGAGAAAATGGCTACCTGGGGCCCTGAAAAATACAGTGCTAAGGAAAAGGATGGACAACAGAATGGAAAGAAACTGCTTTGACAGGGTAAATAAATCCCTAGAACTCACGTATACATTATTAGAATTAATAGAGGCAACTATTAGTTTAACAGTATGCAGAAAAGGACAAGCATATTACATACTGGGGTTTTTGCCGAATGACTTTGCTACAATAGCTGCAAATACAAGCTGCTAGTAGATGCTTGTGAATTAATTACAAGGGTAAGAGTAATGCTACCTAATTCAATCTGCCAGTGAAGAACTGGAGTAAAACCTCTGCCAAACTGATGTTACAAGACACCCACAGAAATGAAGTGACCAAAAAAACCCAAACAAAAATTTTTGGGATTCCCCATTACAATATTACATAGGTAAGAAACACAAATACATTCACTTATTGTTTTCTTTGTGAACTAGGCAAAGGTGTGAATAACCGTTACTAATGGCTTTGTTTTTAAACAGCAGCTACTTAGTACAGAAGAACAAATTTCAGCAGGTTGATAAAAAAGGAAATAGGCAGAGCTGTTACTTCAGCATTTGTAATGGAATGGTTTTCCATGCTGGGAACACACAAGCACCACAGAGCACAGTGCCCAGGCTCACAAACTCTCTCTAACATCACTTATTATTATGGTAACAGACAACACAGAAGGACCACTGGTCTGACCCAGAACATTTCTTATACGAAAGAAAGAAATCTATGCTCCTGCGTACTTCAGGAAGATGGTATTATTTCCCTACTGATGCCAAAAAAGGCTTTTACGAATCAACAGTGAGAACTTTGTAAGAATGCTTATATATGACAACTATAAAATTTGTTATCAAGGTCTGATTTCTAAGAAAGAGTTACCCATTCAAAGAGGAACAGCAAAAACTTTAAATCTTTCTTTAAATGCCAAAATAAAAATCAAACTAGTAAAACTGAGTTATTCCTCAGAACTTACATTCTTTATTTTTAGGTTCCCCCAGTCATCATCCTGTATTTGAAATGAAATAAAAGACAAGTTAATTATCTTGCAGCAAAAGACAAGCAAGTATTTTCATTAATATTGACCACACATTTCTAAATATAAATTGTGTTTCATCTAAGATTCTACAATATTAACTATTTGCATGTCATCAAGTCTTGTCTGACTAAAATAAAAAGCACCCAAGTCATCGTTTCAGTAAGGTTCTTTATCTGTTGTCCAACACTTAAATGTAAACAACTTTTTGTAGGGGAGCTGCCTATATCACATTACACCACTAACTCCAGCAGAGAAGTGCCAGAGAAACTTTTCTTAAACAAACTAAGAGGAAGAAGTTGCATTCAGACTCTGAACATTAAAAAGGGACAGAAAAAACCCCACCAAGCAGAGTAGTGTTTGGTATAAAAGAGTGAAGAGGTGTTTTAATACAGCAGTGTGCCTCCCAACCACTCAGCAACAGACTTTTGCCGGTATTTTTTAGTAGTAGGCAAGGAATCACACAGGTTTTTTCAGACTGTTTCTGAAAAGTGCAGTCAGTTTAATGCGTACAATGAAAGATCTTCTGGAGTAATACTCAGAAATATGATAATTGCTCATTACATTATAATGTAATAAAGTTAAAAATAATCTTAAAAAACCCACAGATTTCTACCTTCAGAGTTCCTCCTTTAACCATAACCTTCTGTCTAGCTGGCTGAACTCCTGTCAGTGCAAACAACTGGGCTTTGAAGACCATTGGAGGTTCGTCAGTGTTAAGCTCCACGCCATCGAATTTCTCTTTTCCCCATTTCACGTTAACTGCAAACAAAATGTTTTGAAACTAGATTATTTCCTAATATACAGGAATGTAATTACCAAGATTAACCCAGTATTTCAAATTCCAGACTTTATACCATCTCAAAACACACCGTTTTTAACTCTAAAACTTGTCAATAATCAAGCTAAGGGACACCTTTTCTACAAGGTACCTCAGCCATCAGAACACACCATTTCCAACAAGCCTAAAACTATCCTAAAAAAACAATTGTAAGCAACACATATACTGAGAAACTTTGCAAGCAATAAATGTGTATAACAGCACTACAAATTCTTTGGGCAAGTCTTCACAAAAGCAGCTCAAAAGCAACTCTCCCGATCTCTTGGCACTGTTCATTGCAAACACATTTCTGAAGGAAGTCCAGGCATGCAATTCCAGTTCAGTTTTCCATAGCACTTCCGTTCTCCTTCAACGGCAAACAATACCATGGTCTTTAAAAGCAATGCTACTGGTTGATATCCGTAATTTTGGCTACCAGTATCATTCACATGGAGCTACGTGAGGAGGTAAGCGTGCATCAAGACAAGCCCCATAAAATAGCACACCTCCTGCTTCCTTTCAACGGAAGGTTAACCTCACAGCGCTGTTTACAACACCATCACTTCTACCCTCCTCAATTTTGACAGTGTTCACACTGTCAAAACAGAACAACGTACACAAACAACATACCTGTGTGTAAATACAGACAACAGCCTAACACAGGTTGCAGCTCCAGAAGCCCTGACCCCAGTAAAGGTGCAGGACTGGAATTAAGAAGTGAAATTTGGTCACGCAAAGCTTAGCTCTCAACGCTGGAAATGGGATCAT